TATACTTTTCTATTTTTTTTTCATATTTTAATGATTTGATCATTAGATTTCAAATTTTATTTAATAGATCGTTCATGTTAAATTTAAAATAAATTAAATATGTCCGATAAATATTTTATATATTAAATGTGTATTGATTCTAAAACAGATAAAACATTCAATTATTACAGTTAAAATATTATCATATTAAGTGTGTGTGTGTGTGATAGTAAAACTTACCGGTTGAGTGGAGTAACTCATAGATAAGTGGATTATCAGTGCTAACAAAAAAGAGGGTAACCGATGGAAACCAACATCTCGAATACCTAAAATTTATGTTTAAAATTTTTGAAACTTTAGGCCTAAATATTAAAGAATTGGAGATGGAAATGAAGGGGAAATTATTTACCAAGGCAAGTGTCCCAGGGATGTATAACACCATCCTTGTTTTTATCAAAGAAGGCAACATGTGTTGAAGAACACTCATTCCATTATTCTCATGCCCTACCGTTCCTTCTGGATTATCCACGTCAGGAGCTACCAATGCTCTTGCCAAATCTATTTCCTTACAAGAAAATTAATTACAATTATAATTATATTTTTTTGTCGTGTTATGTTTATTGCGTATGTAGACATAACAGGGTTATTGCAGCCATTACGAGTATTTTACTCATGATTTTTTTTTTGTAGTTGATTGATTTTTATTTAAACTAGAATAGAAGATAATAGTGGGAATAGCAGCCCATTGTTGCTGCAATTGGTTGCTATATGTTAAATTACACACACGCACCGTTATTGGTGTGATTTCGCTTCACGCCGCTATTTTTCGCAATAATATTTCGGACGTTAATGCTACCCTTATATAATAGTTTCTATTTAAATCTATGGTCCAAATAATCGTGCAGAAAATAAATAAATAAAAATTAAAAAAAATACATGGCTTTGGTAAGCATATTTCTAAGTCATCTCGAATTTTTCTTTCGCCAGTGACTGGTGCTGTGGTGCTGCAGTTGCCATGGATTCATCATCCTTCACCATCCTTTTTTTTTTTTTTCAAGTTGTGAGCTTTAGAGAAAAAAGGTACTTGCAAAGAGAATTTGCAATTATATATATAAAATTGGTTGTGATGCAAATAATAATTAAATTTTCAATTCTCAGATAACTTTACTTCGATAATATTTTTGGGTAATCTCATATTTGATAGCTGTATTTCTTACAAAATGTCTAATATGGTATCTATACTTTTAGAATATTTCATGTGATACCTGCATTTTTACAAAAATTTAATGTGATACTTGTACTTTTAAAAGGTTTATGTGGTGCTTGTACTTTAATTAAATATTCAATGCAATACTGAATAACATAAATAATTTTTATTTAAAATATTGAAAAGATCACTTTCTAATGATTTAGGAGTTCATTCCATGGATTACTCTCATAAAATACATTGTCTCGATTTATATATAGTATATTACAAACTATATTATTAAGAAAATTTTTTATTTAATATATAGTATAATTTAAAACTTGAAATTAAATTACTATAACAATAATAAAAAATCAACAATCAGTTGGTTTAGTGGGATGAGACACTAGATTCCTTAAGCAAAGTCATGTGTTCGATGTAACACCCATAGCTCGTATATGTCTCAAAATACGAGCTAAAGATGTCACATCAATTTTACAAATATTCACTGATCATAAATGGTTACGAGCTAAAGATGTCACATCAATTTTACAAATATTCACTGATCATAAATGGTTAAAATTTTGTTCCATTATAAAACATTTCGTTATTAACTTTACAATTATTCCATTGATCGTGTAAAATCATAAAATAATAATAATTATCATATAAATCAAGCTTAATTTTAGGCAAAAGTTTAGTAGTTCAATAATAAACATTTCTTATTCGTATACATGACATCTAGAAAATTTAAAATAATATGATGTCATTACTGATACATGTAGTTGTTCTTTGTTGATTGATGCCAACTCGACTCCTTACTTCACTTGCCCTTATTTACCTACACGTGAAAATCATCACACGCTAAGTATTCACTTAGTGAAACATTATAAACAAACTAAGGTGACATAAAATATTAAACAACTTAACAACATCATAACATTATTTTTCTTTATATAAAGCTTGACTTAAAATATCATAACAATTCAAAACATTAAACTTAAATTCAAATAAAATCATTAAATATCCAAACCGATTTATTCAAGTCATCTTTCCTTATCATAGACCTGAAAGTCATCATCTTATGATTTTGTCAAAACAATGATAATCAATAATAAACATAACAATCATATCATACTCTATTTCATTCAAATACTTTTAGAACTTTTTTTTTCTTCATTTTTCACTTTCATATTCATTCACATATTCATTTTATTCATTTTCATATTCCATGTTCATAATAAATACTTTAACATTTTAGAATTTATTTTCTGAATCAAAACTTATTTGTATATTCATAACTTATTTTCAGACTCATAGCTTACTGTCAGATTCATAGCTTATTTTCAAAGTCATAGCTTATTTTCAAATTCATAGCCTAATGCATATTTATGAGAATGCAAGGTAAGTGAGTAGAACATAAGGTGCACACAGGGAACATCACGGTGCCAATCTTAAATAACATCTTTATGTTTTGGCCAATAATTTGTATCTATACACTTTGATGGATCTAAATTCAAGATCCTCATTTTATTTCTTTACTCCTACGTAAGCATTGCTTGTAAAATCGTTATCAACAACTTTTCTATTTATTTTTGAATGAAAAAAAAGTAGAGCCTTAACTAATTAGTAGATTTGCAATACATAGACTTCATGCAGTCACGTTGGAGAAGATGTTTCGACTCCGGCGGAGGTTCGTTTAGAGTCGTCAGAGTATTATCAAGCTCGTTATGGAGCTTAGCAAGGGTGTCAGTGGAGCGGTTTCCCTCTCTTGGGGTCCATCTAATTTTCGTCATCCAAGCAATAATTTCCTATTTTGGTTCCATTGTCTTCTTGTAATGACATAACTTATTAATATCTCTTCATTGTTTTCGTTTACCTCAAAATCTTCTAAAGTTGTATTATTAGTTATGTCTTAGGTCTCTTCAGGAGCACCCACCTATGTTATATAACCATCTTATACTACTTCTCTTTTATGATAATTTTGACTACTAGAATCAATTCAATTATCATACTTCAGACATGATTTACGTTCATTCGCTTTAACATATTATCTTCATGAGATTTCAATTCAAATTTTAAAGCATTTTCAACTGGTACATAAGATTTGATTACTATCATTAGGTTAATAAATATTTGTAGCAGTTGACTTGTGATGAATTATCTTATAAACATTCGGTTCACATCATTATGTACAAGGATCTAGATAAAATGATAATTCATTTAACTTTTTCATCTAATTGATTATTTTCTCGAACAACAATAAGTTTTCCATTAAATTTTTCTTCATCGAATGATTTGTGACAGTCAATAGAAGGAGGTCAAAGACTTATTGAAATGAGTGTATCAAGCGCATGGCTATCAAATGAAGGTGAAGACTTCATAGATTTTATTTCTGCAATACGATTTCAAGCATGAGAAGCTCAGAACGGCTTTAGAAAGTTTAAGAGTTATATCTCCCCTGATTTTTAAGTAGAGAGGAGAGAGAGAAGAAAAGGAATAAAGAAGAGAAATTTTTTTCTTCAATTTTTTCCCTTAAACGTCGGTCAAAAGCTTTAGAAAGTTAAATGTGTGGAAAATATTGTCAAGTAATTAGTTTAATACCGTCACATTAGTATTTCGTTATTGTAGTAACGACTATCAGCGATGAAAGATTGATTTGTTATAAATCGATAATATTAATGACCAATGTATTATGTTTAAAATTTTAGTGAGAAAAAAATTTACTAAAAAATTAATGATAAATTTATGAAATTCACCCTAAATTTAGATTTTTCTTAACACGATGACTTAATTAATATTTTATAAGGACTTTTTAGATCAATAAACATAAGCCAATTTTTTCGAGAAGGTAAAACAGATTTTTCCATCCCGAAATTGAAGGAAAAATCTTGAAAATCCCTCTACTTATTGGTAAAATATGAATATTGTGCGTGACAAATATTAAATACCAAATTAAGATTATCAATCCAACTTATAATATTTAATAAAAATCCAACTTATAATATGACAACAATAATTTTTATTAAAATAAATCATGGTCCTATTCTTTCTTAATAATTTTGATTGAGATAAATTTATTAAGTGATTTTAGAAGTAAAAAAGAAATATTATTTTCATTAAAAAGTTTGAGTTCAAGCAGTACTATTTATAAAATGTGTGAATGTTATCGATAATTAGATAAATATAAACATATTATCTTTTAATCACTTTAAATTATTTAAAAAATTGATCTTGATTGATACAAAGAAAAAATTGTGGTTCCAACCCAATTTTGATCTCGACAAAAGTACACCATACAAAAGGAAAATAAAAGTATGGATTTTTGAATAGATATACTTGTCAAAATTAGCCCATAACGTCTATCAAAATAATTATTTTTACCCATATTCTTTTTTTAGAATATTTTGGATACCGATGTTTCATTTTTAGGAATAAAGACTCATAACGGTTGACTAAATAGTCATTTTGTCTCTTATTTTTTAGTGCATTTTGACTCTTAATGTTTCATTTTAGGATAAAAACCCATATTTTAGAGCGTTATTCGCTTGTTAAATAACCGTTTCTATCCATAGAAAGACTTTTTTTTCCTCAAAATAAAACATTAAGATTCAAAATATTTTTTTAAAAAATAAGGGTCAAAATGACTTTAAATTTTTTTAAACATCATGCCATATGAATAATCATAAAGCTAAAAAATGGGCTTTCAGAAAGTAGAACAAAAGCCTTGGAGCACAGAATAACCCAGCTACTACAATACTAAAAGTCCATTAACAATAGAAAGCCCCAAACTACAAAAGATTATATGATATCCAAATTGAACCCATCTGCTCTACTTTTCTACTTATCCTGAAGGGGAAAGAACAACAAACATATAAAAACTTATGGCAACCGAGGCGGCGGAGGAAGTTCCCGTCCCTGCAGCGGTGGCGGAAGCAGCCGCAACAACAGGAGCTGAGAAGCAGCCGCACAAGCTTGAAAGAAAGTGGGCCTTTTGGTTTGATAACCAATCTAAGCCTAAACAAGGAGCCGCTTGGGGTATCACTTTACGCAAAGTTTACACCTTTGACACTGTTGAAGAATTTTGGTGGTACTTTTATCAAAAACCCATCTCCTTTTTATGTAATTTTTAAAAGATCTATTGATTTAGATTGGGTTTTCTTTTCTCTATTGAAAAGATAAAATATTCTCCATTTGGGTTTTCATTTTTGGGTAGATACTAATTGATTTGTTTGAGATTTGGTTTGTTTAATAGGATAAATGCGTTTCCTAAGGTTGAATTTTATTGGAGTTTGCTGTTTTTCATTATATGTAATATAATCTGACTATTTTAATTGTTATTTATTATTGTTTATTTGAAATTAAGGCTTATACTTTTTGTTATGTTTTTCAGTTTATATGATCAAATATTCAAGCCCAGCAAGTTGCCTGGAAATGCTGATTTCCACTTGTTTAAGGCTGGGATTGAGCCTAAATGGGAAGATCCGGAGTGTGCTAATGGAGGAAAGTGGACTGTCCTTAGCAGTCCTAGCAACAGAAGGACTAATTTTGAGAATATGTGGCTTGAAACTGTAGGTGTATTGTCTCTAGATATGTATTATGTGCAGTATGGTTGGTATCTTCTCTTATTTGACCCACTAGTTGCATTCTATGGACAGTTAATGGCATTGATCGGTGAGCAGTTTGATGACTCGGATGAGATTTGCGGCGTGGTTGCTAGTGTACGCCAAAGACAGGACAAACTTGCATTGTGGACCAAGACAGCAACGAACGAGGCTGCCCAGGTCTTTATCATAGGAATTGTTGATACTTTGAATCTAATCTATTTATTTGTTGAACACATCGTATTCTGAGGAAGCATACCTACATATCATTTTCATTCTATCAGTTGACGTTTTCTTGAATTTTATATGCTCAAGAATGAACTTTTCTAGTTTCTACTTGGAAATTTCTACCATAATCACTCTGCAAGAAATTGCTGCCACCTACGTGCATGAAAATATGCACAATCAGATGGGTAATGATGGGTTTTCTCTGTTTCCAATGAGTCAATAAAATGCTTAAATCCATCTGATTACTTTTGCTGCATTGCATAAAATTTATATCTGTGTTCAATGTGCTAAAGCTTTTGCTGCAACCACGAGTCCAGTTTCATCCATTTATCTAGAATTTGACAAGTTCAGCTTGCTGTCAATGACCCATTTTTGTAGTAGGCTAGTCACATTTTTTGGTCATCCTTTGCTGGTGATGTCTCCAAATCCCTTTTTTTTTTTTGCATGTGAGCTTATTTCTTTCATGTTTATAAAACATCCTCTCACAAGTCCATATTGCAATGGCATGTTGCCCTGCATAATTTTGAGAAGCACACTTGATCTACGGCCACTTGTTATTTATCGCATACCTTTCATTTTTGATTTTGTCCTTTTGAAATTCAGCTAATCGAATATGCTTTGGTGATGTTAATTGGAATTGTGTGATATAGATGGGCATCGGAAGGAAGTGGAAGGAGATCATTGACATCAATGATAAAATTACTTATAGCTTCCATGTAAGCTTCATTCAACCGGTACTTGTGATGTCGGGAGCATATTCTCTCACCGTGACTAACTGTTTTGCACTTTGCAGGATGACTCTCGTCGGGAAAGATCGGTTAAACGATACAATGTTTGAACTCTCTGCATGTTTCTTTGCTCCGTATTACAGAATGCTGAACTGGGGCAGAAAGTAATGTAATTTGTTACCTGTTTTGCGTACGAGTTTTTTTCTTATTTATTGCCGTCAACAATCAGGTTCTATAATAGACATTTATATTCAACATTAAGAGTTTTTACTATATTCTATAGATACTTCATTTGTTGAATCTCATATTATATGCATGTCTGCTGATTGTTTCTGAAATCTTCTGTAAAGAATTGTAATGATGATTCCTCCTTGGCAACCTTGAGAATGGACCTTTTCAAATAATTATGTACTTGGTAAATTTTCTTCTTTGATTCCTAATTATAATTTCTATAATTGATTAGGGAAGTTTTTCATCCTTACATGGAATGAAAAAGGTCACAAAAAATATTCTTAACATATAATATTTTGATTTTATTTTTTTAATATTTTAGTCTATAATATTTTATTTTAAGATAAAAAGCTCATTTATTAGTGGAAATAATTAGTCAAGAAACAGTAAATATTCTAAAGGAATTTGTTTATTGAAATGAAATGTTTTAGCAAAATATTAAAAAAAAAGTTAAAGTGAATATTTTATTAAACATTAATAAATTTTTATCCTAAAACAAAATATTGGATTGAAATATTTTAAAATATAAAAATTTAAAATAATTATTTAATTAAACAATAAATATTCTAAAGTAATCTTTTGTCTTGAAATGAAATGTTTTAGTAAAATTGAAATGAAACGTTTTACCAAAATTAAAATGTTTGAGTTTGTTTGATAGAAAAATTATTTGCAAAGTCACATTTTAAAAAGGATGATTTATATTATTATAGTGGTGTTTTATTTTATATTTTTTTTATTGATTTGGAGTGATTATAAGATAATAGTTGTTTGAAAGATTCTTAATCATTTGACAATGAATGTTCAAACACTCCTGTGTAATGTAACGCCTCATTAGCTTGTAGGAAACCATGACTCAAGTTTAAATGGATTTGAACTTGGGTTGAGCCCAACAAGTGTTAAAAAAGGGTGTTGTTTAATTTGTGACTAAAACTTAGAGGACCAAGATAGCAATTCACCCTTTTTCCTTATAAAAGGTTGGGTTCTTTTATATGATTTTGTATAGTGAAAGAAGTTGGGGAGAGCTCTAAATACAAAGGGAAGGAAAAGCTAATGCTTGGTTGAGTTGAAAGAGTTTCCAGCAACTTAGCAGTCTAGGTAAACTCACTTCTAACTCGACTTTATCACATGTAGATCACTAGGTGTGTTTTGATAGGTTGCATGAGTTATGAAGCATGTTCATGGTATATTCAACATTTAGAGTTGTATAGTATGTTTATGGACCTATTATGACCCCTACTATTATACATAAAGCTCTAATAATGTTTGGGAACCTCAATAGGACTTTTGGGAGAATTAGAGAGGCTTTTTCGTGCCCAAAACATGGACTTTTGGAACAATACCGATATTGTTCATCAGTTAGCTAAAATAAGGGGGTTTTGGGAAGAAAGTATCAATACTCATCATAGAGTATCGATATTGTTGGTCGAGTTTTGATACGTACAGGGTAGTATCGATACTGAGTAGACTTAGAAGATTACAATAAGCAATTTTGGTATCTGTATTGATGGGAGTATCAATACTAGGGGTAGAGTATCGATGCTCCTAGTAGGGGTAGAGTATCGATACTAAGGCATTTTTCAAAACATCGAAGTAAAATTTAGTATTGGTACTCAAGATAGTATCGATACCACAGTCCATAAGTATCAGTACTCAAGCTAGACTATTGGTACTACCCTTTCCATTTCAGTTCTCAATAGTCATTTAGTATTGATACCCAGAGTTTAGTATCAATACTCAGGGGCCAATATCGATACTGAATGACTTAGTATTGATACCCACAAATAGTTTTGGGTAAGAAACCCAAGAGTTTTAAGGGATAGATTTAAGGGACCTAATAATACTAGAACGCCATGAAATAAAACTACAAGTGAGAACAATAATAAACTCAAAACAACTAGAAACAATAACAACTAGGATGACATAAAAGTAACAACTAGGATGACATAAAAGTAACATTGTCTGATGCTCGGGAAACAGTTAGGACACCCAAGTTACTGTAGTAGATAACGATCGTATAGTTTAGATATATCCTAGTTCGTGGCAATGCACTTTAGTTTCCAACTGGGCATAGATGCCCCAAGACTCGACGGAGTAAGTTGGTCGAGTGTATGTTTTCGATGCAGTTAAGGATCTCACCCTAGATACCTAAGGGTATTTTTAGAAGGCTAGAGGGGCGTGTGCCCCAAGATGCAGAACCCTCAGACACACCATAATGCCTACTTCAACATTGCATGACTGCATTCTTAAGTCTTCCTACATATGCCACTAGCATGCTTATTTAATGAATGCATGTAGTATAGTACAATTATTAGTGTGACACTGAACTTGTACGTTCATCGTTCGGAATGTGTTTCCATGCACATGTTGTTAAGAGATCATCTGTAGAGCGTTATCGTCACCAGATATTCTAGTTCAGTCGAGTATTCAGAGTACGTCTTAATTTATATCGGAGGGCATGTACTATTGTAGAGCCCTAACTCTATTTTGAATTAAATTCAATGTACTTATTTTGGATGATTTGGGAGCTCCCCGTATTTGTAAAATTAGATTTATTATATTTTTTATTTTACATCCCAAAGCACCATATATAGAGGAGGAAAACCAGAAGAATATCCGAAGTGAATGAATAAAAAATGACTCCTCCTTTAATTGCAGTCTCGTCTGACACATATACTCGAGAACCAACAAAATGTTATATGCAAACGAACAAAGAAACCAAACATCGGAAAAGCAAGTAACCATAAAATCTAGAAGAATCATAGATCAAGTATACCAATGGAAGAAACCTGCCTTGAGAATCCAAAAACACCGGTAACTATGATACTCTTTACTAAAAAAAGTCAAAAAAAATATTATTTTAAATATATTAAAATATAACTAAAAATTAAAAAAATCAAACGATAATAAAATGAAAATGACAGAGAAGTGGTCGGAAGAAACCATCACCGCTACCATTGATAAACGTGTGATAACCGCCCTGTAGCTTTTGGTAGATAAATTGCTTTTCTTTTTAATTTTTGACGAACAAATAAATAAAGAATTAAAAGAATGGCGGGCTAGTTACTGTGAGGTCTAGTATATAAAGGGGAGACAGATAGAACTCTTCAATACATCGCAATTGTTTTTCTGAATTTACGAAACGGAGAAACTCTCCAGTCTTCATCGTCGTTTTTTCTGAATTTAGGAAAATGGAGAACAAAGTAGCAGCAAGAAGATTTGAAGGCAAAGTTGCGATTGTAACTGCTTCGACTCAAGGCATCGGTTTTGGCATCGCATAGCGCCTTGCTCTGGAAGGTGCCTCGGTCGTCATCTCCTCTCGCAAGCAGGTCTTTTAATAATTTCAATCTTCTCTGTGTTGGATAGTAAATGATGCTGATGCAATCATAATTACAGTTGATGGAGCTTATTAATTGGACTGTAGTCCTTTGTTAAATCTGCTGTTCTTTTATCTGTTCTTGGATTTGATGATTGAAGTTTTGAGCTTAGTTTCTCTTGAAATTGAGAGTCCGTGGAATCAGAAATCGTCAAGATTTTTATATGAATTATTGTGATCTGATCTGTAATCAACAGGATTTCCTTCATCTTTTATTAATTAGAAATTAGTGTGCTTTTCTCTCGACTTATTTTTTCTGTTTGATTTGTTTTTGATATGATGATGGGTGTTAGTTATGTTTTTGAGCTTCATCCTTGAAGAAAAACGTCGACGAGGCCGTTGAAAAGCTTAAAGCTAAAGGAATACATGTCTTCGGAGTCGTATGCCAGGTTTCCGATGCGCAGCAAAGGAAGAATCTAATCAATGCCACCGTCGAGGTTAGTTTAATGAAAATCTTGAATTCTAATATTGTCGTTGAAAAAAAAATCAATAATAAACTCGAGAACTCGATCATTTCCCTTTAATTATAAAATAATTATTAATTTTTTTGAATGATTATAGAAGCGGCCATTTTATATTATTTTAATAAATTTAATGATCATTTTGTAACTTTGGAGGGTTGATGTTTAAAAGGATAATTTTATCATAGTTTAGTGGCTTTACTGTACTCTATCCAAAAACTTAATAATTTGACGTATTCCTATTAACTCTTATTTAAATGGGAAATTAGTTATTTGCTCCTCTTAAAAACCAATAATTCAATTTTAAACAACAAAGCTGAATCCTTTGAGTAATTGGTATGCGTAACAATTAACATTGTATATGTTGTTGGTTTCAGAAATATGGAAAAATAGATGTGATTGTATCAAATGCCGCTGTAAATGCGGTAAATGTACCGCTGCTGGA